TTAAAATCTCTGGATTCAAATGGACTCGCATGCACATCCAAATCACACGACCACTTTAAGATGGCAGTTCAGACATCAAACTATATCTCAGTTATTAATCATAGCAGTGGTGTGGATTTGATTGACAGTTTGATACACCAGTCCTACACCATAAAAAAAAAAAAACACATATGATGACAGACCTCAGACGGCTCACTATTTGATAACTATGCTATCTAATTATGTGTTTACATGCTTTCTCTAGAGTTTGGGATTAGCTTCTGCAATCCTGAGATTTTCCCACTACTACTGTGTCTATATAAGGACATCCTCATACATGAGCATAATTTCTGAGACACCTGTACCCAAAAGAAAAACACTGACAATCCACTGACCTCACCCTATGTCATCACATATAATCACATGCCTGTGAGTTAGTTGGTTAGTATTCACTAACCAAACAGAACAATTAATTTAATCCTCAAAGTTTAGCGTGTTGAATGTAATAAAGTATAGGTTTTAGACTCTGTCTACAAGCTTTGCCATTTCAAACTCAGTTTGTCCTACATTTTCTCTCCCTCTCCCATAACCTTGATACTGCCTTGTCTCCTTTGATCTCCTTTGAGATGTGAGAGATTTGGGAGTGTGTAGTGTGTAGAGTGTGTAGTTACTGTTTTGTGTTGTTAGTGTGTAGTGTAGTCAGTAGTTTTGTTTTGTGTGTCAGAACAATGAGGCCACTGCTAATTGTAACAGTTGCTACCAATAAGCCACCAAAGACAGACTGCAGTGTAAACGCTGTTATCAGGTGGAAAAGAGGAGGAGTGATACACCTGTCGTCAGGCCAGCAGGTGCACGTATCAGCTTGTGATGTGCTCCTCTTTCTAATGGTGGACACAATTTTTTTTGGAATGGCACAAACAATTTGTGTGGCATATTATTTGATGCAGAACACCTGATTGTTCTGTAAATAGTTTGAGATGGTTATAGAAAAAACACATAGGCTGCATTTTTAGCTTACTAGCTGCATGTAACTTTGTGTTTTGCAAAACATTTGCATATATTTTTAAAATGCACAATTTATTTTTGCATTTCAAGTTATGAAAATGATTCATTAAACATGTTAGTGGTTGTTACAGTAAAAAATATGACTTCAACTCTAACTTTTTTGTCTCATTTTAAGTCAGTTCTTTTAATACAAAATCAAAAAATAAATTCAGACATGTGAGGTTCCAGTTTAGATTAGGGAGACAGACACTATAAAGAGTAGGCTTTAAATGTTTCTTTTTGCTAAAGCATATAGTTAGGTCTGGATCAAATGACTCTTAATACAGCTGATTATAGACATCACGCAGTGAGTGTTTCTTCATCATTTACCATGCATTTATGTATTACTCGT